TATATTTATTTATTTTGCTTTGCTTTCTAAATTTTATTCATATATGTTGTCTATTCATTACTTTTTCTTTTATATTTTGAAATTTTGTTTTTGTTTTTTATTTTTTTTCCCCAACTCCAATATCAATTTCAACAAGTCCATTCAATTTAATGTCAACTACATCAAGACTTAAATTCATTAAGATCGCATGTAAACCCATATCATACTTCAAGAAATATTTCCAATCAGAGATTTTACTTGCATTGCTTCAGCTATTGCGCCATCAAATATTGATGAAACCTTGGCAGAATATCGTTCGTTAGAATTTATGTTTGGTACTTGAAAATTGCATGCATAGTTAAGCGTTATTCCCGGCTATAACATATAACTTGGCCAAGCTCGTGTGCTTCTATGCTCCAGCTCGTAAGCTTTTTAATAAATCCTCACGATTATAGCATTTGAGCAACAACAACAACAGCAACAGCAACAAATGTGGGCCATGCACGATGCATGCAGCCAGCAGCTAACTGGGCTAGCAGTAAAAGTTAACGTTAGAAGAGAAAGAAAGAGAGAGAGAGTGAGAGAGCAGAGATCATAAAAGGCAGCCAAGTTACCTTAGATAGAGCAGGCAAAGATGGTTTTACGACTAACAAGAGAGACAGAGAGAGAGAGAGAGAGAGAGAGATAAGGGAGGAATACCCGAAAGAATTGCGAATTCACAGCTAAAACTAAATGGCGCTCGCTTTATTCACTAATTGCAGATATAACCAGCTCGCTGACAATGACCGAGGTGAAGATACCCAATCACATAATGCGGCTGAAGAGCGCGCTGCTCGGCTGTCGCTATTCCCTGGACGGCGAATCGCTCTACTCGGTCAAATGGTACAAGGATGGGCACGAGATCTACCGCTATGTGCCGCGGGACAAGCCACCTGGACAGGCATTTCCGCTGCCTGGCGTCAACATCGATGTGAGTACACCCCCTAAGCAACGCCCTGCCCCCCCTCAACAGGTGCAGTTCGGGCAAAAAATTTAATTTGAAACTTTATTTCGGCTAGAAGGGGCAAAGATGTTGCCTCGAAATTTACTGTTACGGCCGACTCATAATGATTATTTGCAAAGAGCATGTAATTGCCCGAGCAACAGCAACAACAAAAGCAACAACAACAGCAACATCTTGTTGCAATGTAGTTGCCTTTGCCACGTAGTTTTGCCATTTAACTTTAATTTAATGTTGATGTAATTTTTTGTTAGCCATAAAAATGTTTGCTGCTCTCCCTTGCCCTATCGCTCTCCCCTCGCTCTCTCCCCCATCACTCTCGCTTACTCCCTCTGCTGTGTGCGTGTGTGTGTGTGTGTGTGCTGGGTTAGCTTAGGTCACGTTGCGGTCTGAGCTCTTTAACGTACATTGTACACGTCACTCAATTTCAATTGCGATTGAAAAGGTTGCCGAGGCCAAAATCACTTAAAGCTGCCAATCCTCAATGCTCGATGCTCGATGCTCAGTGCTCAAACGCCCGTCTCTAATAATAATAATAATAATTTGCTAAAGCACTTAAGTGCGTCTACTTTGTGTGGCATTTTGTTGACAGCACAACACAGCCCCGCCCCACTTACCGGCCCATGCCCCGCATCGGCGAGCTGAAACAAGCAAGCGTGATTCAGTCAAAAGCAGCTCGACTGGGGAATACCCTGAATGTTGCGGTGAGCTGATATTCCAATTGCTGCTTTGCTAATTGTGCTTAGTCTTTGCTATAGCTCTGCTTCATCTCAGCTTGAGCTTTACTTGAGCTCTGCTTCAGCTCTGTTTGGGCTCTGCCTCAGCTCTGCTGCAGCTCTGCTTGGGCTGCATTTCGATTACAATTGATCTCTGCTTGGACTCTGGCTGAGCTCTGCTTGGGCTCC